GTGTGGTCAAGCACGGCTGCTTTAGATATCCCTTGGAATGGAAGCATCTCCAACATCTTATTGCGCATGTGACCGCTGATCAGGTACTGCCAGAAGCATGGCTGGCAGTCTTGAACGCGATGGAGCTTGAGATTGCAGGAAGGCATGGCATCATCGGCAAGGGCGCCAGCAAGCACGTATCTCCTGGTGGTAGAGTTCTACCGCTTGTGCCCTTCAGTGGGCTTCCTGAAGACAGACCTGTTCGAGGTAAGGTTGATGCTCACGATTGGGGTGTTGCTGGCAGATGGGCTAGACACATCCGCAGGACCTCTGTGCTTTTCATAACATTGTTTGGCAGTATTGCTGGATCAATGACACGCTCGTCATCCTCGAGCAGTGCATATTGTGCTGGGCTCATGAAGACAAGGGAGACACCCATTGAGAGGCTGGCTCGTTTGTTGCTAGACTCGCATTTCTTCTCACAGAATATTGTTGCAGCGGATGGTGTCCTCAACAAAATTGACGCATAGTTTGCTGAATTTTTCAAGGCTGGAGTTTGCTCTTGGTTGGCCAACGCTGATATCGATGCCATTTTGGAGAATATTTTGGGAAAGGCACAAGTTGTTCAAGATCAGCATGTCGCTCAACGTAAGGAGGAGCGGCTGCAATGGACAGAGCAGGCTTTCAAGCAAGGAGCTGGCCAAGCCCATCGTTTCACAAAAGTTCGGGGGCCCCAGCAGGTTCATGAGTTTCTTTATAATTCTTCCCCACAAGCTGGCCGACAACGAGCTGGATAGGTGGAAGGCGATTTGGCAACTTCATAAGGAGGATCAGCTTCCGCTACCGCATGATGCTGAGAAGTGGGGGCACCTACCTCCTACTGATGGAGCTCAGATTCGCAAGGTCGTTTTGTCGTTCGCCAAGCGGACGGGTAGAGGCCAGGTGCGCATTCTTCCTCGACACCTGTGGCTCGTTTGCGATGAGGGCCTTGCCACTTTAACTCAATTGTTTATGCGTTGTGAAGCTATGTTGCGATGGCCACAAGACCAGCTGTTCACCGAGCTTTGCATGTTAAAGCCCACAGGCGGCACTCGCCTGATAGCGTTGTTGAACACTTTGCTCCGCGTATGGGGCAGAGTGCGCCGACCGCTACGCGCTGTGTGGGAAAGGTCTCAGGCTCACCCTTCCTTTTGGGGTACTGGGGCAGGCCGATCATCGAGCGACTGCGCATGCCATCTTACTTTGAATGCCGAAGTGGCGCACGCACGTAGACAGCATGTGATCACAGTATTCCTGGGCATTTTCAAATGTTATGAAACTATATTATGGGGCATGCTCATGAACGAGGCACGTGCGCTCGACTTCCCCCTTCGCCTCGTGTGGGTGATCATCCAAACATATCTATGTCCTCGTACGATTCGAGCGTTCAATAACATCGGCAAATTGTTTGTGGCGCACCATGGCGTACTAGCAGGTTGCACACATGCGACAGCGGTTCTCATGGTGGTATTGTATCGTGTGGTGGATTCACAGTATAAGCTTTACAGTCCGCTTGTGTCGGTGCGAGTGCTTATCGATGACTTCACAATGCAATGGATAGGTGACGATCCTCAGGAGGCGCGCATACTGCACACATGTGTACGTAACTTTGCTTCGGACGCCATTACTCTCGGACTTGTACTTCAGAATGGGAAGTCTGGGTATGTAGCTACTACTATAAGGGCAGCTCGTGGATTTGCTTCTGGGGTTCGTTGTATGAAGCTCCGAAGTAAAAAGCACATCAGAAACCTTGGGCATGACCTCTACGGGGTTCGAGTCGCTCGTGTCATGGAACAGTCTCGTCTTCGGGCTCTTGGGCAACGTCGGAGGCGCATTTGGAAGCTTCGGGACACGGTCCATGAGAAGGCAGGGCTCCTGTGGAGGGCAGGGATTCTCCCATCGGTCGGGCACGGCGCAGGAGTGAGCGGTACGTCGGATTCTGCACTCAAGCAAGTACGCACCGTTGCAGGCGGCATGATTGGCGCCAGTGGCAACTGCTCACCCACGCTCTGCGTTCGTACTCAAAGTGATGAAAAGTTTGATCCAATTTTTGATTGCACTACAATTCTTGTCAAGAGATACTGCAGTTTCATATGGGACAATCGAGTATCAATTGCTGACCTGCATCACGCGCTTGAAGATTTCCGCGCTCGACTTCACGCAGCCGCGCGTCCGACGTGGAAAATGGCAAGAGGTCCTATTGCAGCGGTTTTTCTCACTCTGCAGAGGATCGGATGGTCCATGCTCAGCCCGATTTGTCTTCAAGATGATGCTGGCCATAAGTCTGATCTCCTACAGACAGCCCCTCGTGACATTGGGCGGCGTCTGTGTGACAGTATTCGCAGATGGCAGATGCTGAGAGTTCGTGAACGCCTTCCTGAGCGCGTCGGAGACGAGAAGGTATGGCGACGAGCAGTGCGAGCTGCAGTTCTACGTGTTCCTCCTGGACCGCAACGAGGGGCACTTCGCAAGCTCTGGTCTGGAGGATTGCTTTGCCCTGACAGGGCTGTTGACCTTGGAATTTCAGACTCTCGTGAATGTCATCACTGTGGTGCCCCGCGCGGCTCACTTTCTCACCAATGGAATTGTTGTGAAGTATTAATGCAGAGCAGTGGCGTTCTTCCTGACGCTGTACCTGAGGAGTTCATGGAGGACTGGGAGCGTCGTCGCAAGGTTGCAGAAGGCCTCACGGACATTGACACCTTCGAGATGACCTACGGACTCCCCCTCGAGCCGCTACAGCCAGGACAGCCCGAAGGTCGCCCCCCAGTTCATGAATGGGGAGATTGTCGATCGGAAGCTTGGGGGCCGATTTCTTATGTAGACGCCTCTGGAATGCGTGGCAACCACCCCGCACTCGCCAGAGTTGGCTGGTCTGTTGTGCAATTGTGCCCAGCATCAGGCTGGCCGTTGGGGGCTCGATACGGAGGACTCCCTGGTGCCGATCAAACGGTTCCTCGTGGCGAACGTTATGCTGGACTTCAGGCGCTGTCTGTGATGCAGCGACCAGGCGCTGTCGTATCCGATCACCTTTCGTTTGTCAAAGAGGCGATGAGATGGGGCGATAAGCTGGAACATTCTTCAAGCCTTCATGCTGGGTTGTGGAGACAGCTTCGCACACTATGTCGTAATGATCGTGAATATTGCAACTTTGTTTGGGTGCCTTCGCACCAGGATGTACTCACATTTGCTGAAGAAGGAGGCTCCTACGCACATTGTGTAGGTAACGCATGGGCTGATTTCTTCGCACATGCTGGTGCCATGGGAGTCTGTGTCGCCAACACCCTCGCCGACAATCACAAAGCGTTGCTGAAGGAGGCCAAACAAACTGCCCGATACCTTGGATTTCTTGCGGCCCGAGCTGTTCGTCTGTACCTCGAGGTGGGAGCAGAACCAAGGAGGAACGCCCCTTCTGCAGGACCTGCTTTACCTTTGACGCAGCACATGTTCGAGCAAGTGAGTGAGTCATGCATTCGTTGCACACACTGCTTGCGTGTCGCACGTACGCCATCTAGTTTTCAGACTCTTTTTAACTCGAAGTGTTCTGGCCCCCCAGTCCTCGGTGTAAGTCATATGTTGGCTAAGTGGGGCCCTCCAGCTATATGTGAAAGATGTGGGGCCTATTCGCCCAACATCTTGAAATTCGCTCGAAACCTTCTCCTCGTGTGCCCTGGCCCTCCCAGCAATAAGTCCACGCTGGCCAATATCCGCTCGCATATCAAGCGGGTGAAGAAGGGTCTCGAGCCACGATCGGGGAAGGAGATTTCTCTTGTATAGGCGGGCCCAACTGCTGCCTTCTTGGACTCCCCTGCTTCCTCCCTGGCCCCTTGCGGGGCCAGGTGATTGAACCAGGGAGTGCCTGCCGCCTGGCGCGGTTAGCACACGTCCTCGGCAGCAGTACGGCTCGCTGCTGCCGTCAGCGGCACGCTGGCCCTTTCTCGCTGTCAGCGCTTGGCTGACCCTTTCTCTCAATTCGGCCCTCCTCCCGTTCCCTTTGGGTTCGGTTGGGGGTGCTTGGACTGGACTACTCCTCCTCCTCCTCCTCCTCCTCCTCCTCCTCCTCCTCCTCCTCCTCCTCCTCCTCCTCCTCCTCCTCCTCCCCCTCCGGGTATGACAACGTTACGTGTGTGGGCGCCGCCCCCCCCCCCCCCTGCAATCGCTGCGCCTCGCCAGGGTGCTTCGATGCCTGAGTTGTCCAGTGTGGCCCGAGCCACTTTGAGGTTGAAGGACCTCGGCCTATTTACGTGTCCTCTCATTTGCTCTGGCTACTCCCGCTGCATCCGTGGTCCAACTTCATCTTCTTCTCCAGTCACGGTCTCCCACCACTTGCCCCCGTGAGCGCTGCCCGGCTAAGCTCACAACGCTTGCAGTGTAGAGGCAGCTCGCTCTCCACAGATTTGCTGGTCGAAGCTGCGCCGTGCCAGCCCCCGGGATGTCCCAGAAGGCGCCTCTGCGGCCCCCTGCCCCAGTGGCCTCCCCGAGGACCCCAGAGGCCTCGTGCCCCTGCCATCTTTTCCTCGGAGGCCCTGGAGGCCCTGGAGGCCGCTGGGGCCTCCCGCAAGCCCCCCATTTGGGGATCGCCGCGGGGGTTGCTAAG